CTGGAAATGTTCTTCTGTTTTGTGCCCTGTAGAATATAAGCTATTATTCTGAATTCCCTTGAAAGCATTGACAGAAAGGTGGTATATAAATGTAACACACAAATACATTATAATTTAAATAAATCCATGTTTGATTACTGTCAGAATCTTAGGTAGCAAGTCCCCTTTGACCACCAAAAAGACTTTGCTGGGGATCATGACACCCACATGGACAGAAAGCATGTGGGGCAGGGGTTATAATGAGGGTAATTGGGTCAAGTTGAGGGAAAAAATGGACTGGATTCAATGAAATGTTTATATGTTTATGTTAAAAACAAAATGGAGGGGGTTGTTAAATGAGGTAGGTATCGTTTTATTGTATATGGCCATAAGCCTTCACAATATCAAAACACTCTCAGAAAGTTTATACATTAACATATGATAGAATGTTTCAACCTCTATTAAAACATATAAAACATCTGTTAAAATTATCTCAACCTCTGGTTTTTAAAACTGACAAGACCTTTTAAAACATATGATAGAATGTTTCAACCTCTATTAAAACATATAAAACACCTGTTAAAATTATCCCAACCTCTGGTTTTTAAAACTGATAAGACCTTTTAAAATCACTCACTTGGTTGCATCACCAAATTAAACTAATTTTTCTACTGGCCAAGGTAAAGAGAGCCAGTCTTGAAGAAATGAAGGGGTCCTCATCTGAGAGCAAAAAGGTCATCTTTTCATAATCAGACAGGGGGTATAGGGCTGTCAATATCTTTGCTAAAAATTTGGCCCTGGGTTCTACATATAAGGGACAGACCAGAATGAAGTGGGGAAGGTCTTTCACTGACTGCCCACATATACAGATATACTGGTCTACTGGAGTCCTATTATAGCAACCAGCTAGCATCTCTGAAGGCATCATTTGAAAATCTCCTGAGATTATACAAGGTTAAGTTGTTTAAGTAAGAGGCTCTTGAGTGGTCCTTTTTGAACATTTTAAACCATGGAGCGAACCTCGATTGGGCTATCAATGTGGTATCTATTAGCACATCCTCTCTAAACATCTGTTCACGTAGGTTAATACTTTTCCCCGTATGTTGAAGCAGGTCATCTGGAATAGTATATCTGGTGATGATATAATTAAGAAATTTAGGGCGGGCATTGTCTTTGTCATTCAGTAGATGGTAACTAAGTGTGCTGAATGCATCTGGACTTTTTAGTTGGATTTTCCCCCAAGATTTTAGAATCATCAAATGAACTCATACCCTTTCTGATGGAAGTCCCAGTTTGGCTTGTAACAGGGCAGCCGGTGTTCCTTTTGGAAGTGCCAGGATGCATCTCATAAATAGGTTTTGAACTATTTCTAACCTAAGGCGTAAATGATCTTTCCATCCCCATATCTCAGTGCCATACAATAATTGAGAAATTATGTTACTAACGAAGAGTTTCAGCACTGGGTCTACAAGAAAACCTCCTCTGGAGTAGTAGAATCTCAATACAATTCTCATTGTCTTAAGGGCTAAAGCTTTAGTGGATTCTATATGGGTATACCATTTAAGGGTATCCCATTTAAGATTAAGCCCAGATATTTGTAAGATCGACATTGCTCTATTGGGACTCCCTGTATGCTCCACTGGAACATTATTGGCCTCTTTTGGAAAACCATTATCTTAGATTTCTCATTGTTAATAGTGAGGTTCTCCTCCTTACAATAGTCGCCTAAACAGTTCAGAAGTCTCTTCAAACCCATCCTAGTTAAAGAAATCAGTATCATGTTGTTGGCAATTAAAAAGGAACCTGAAAATGCTGTAAAAGAGATTTCCTTTCTGACAGCAAAGACAGTGGACCTCATTTTTCCATCATTGCAAAAAAAAATTGCATCTTGAATAGCTTACAAAGTGTTGAGAAATGGACTAATTTATGGTTTTATATCTGCTTACACACGCAACACATGGACTGTGCACACACCTGTATACCATAGGCCTGGAGGAAGCTGTTTGCATCACCTACTGTGAGAGCTTTCACATAGGGAACACTTGCCTGCATTTCATGTTAATGTAGTTTGCACACATTCAGCTCAAAGCCTCATGGGAAGGAGAAGCACATGTTAGCCATTGTGAGCAGAGACAACAACCAAGAAAAAGAAATTCCCCCATTGCTGAAGAGACTAGATGTCACACAGGACATGGACCTGATCTGCATTTGAATTGCCATTTCCTGTTGATGGTACCTTGTTCGCCTGGTAAAGCCAAGAGGGCACAGGAAGCCGAGACTTCACACCTGGCCAGATGGTGTTCCATGAGATAGAGTGTAGAATTTCAAATATTGACCCAACCCATAGAATACCTGTCCCTTTCTACATGCACCAATGAGGGAAGTTATGGGATGGACTTGTAAGTAGGTGGGAGTACAGTTTGCCAAGGTGCCACCCACCTGAAGATTCAACTATAAAAGTAAAGGCCAAACCCCAGGTCTTTGCTAGCCACCTCTCCTCTCATCAACTCCTTTATACTTTGAATTCCTTTTTTGCTATTCAACAATCCTTTCTGTCTGTTATGGATCTCTTGGGACTGCAGCCAAAGAGATCCACACACACATATACTTGACCGGCTGGTTCTGGAACAGTGTGATTTAGGTAAACTTCTAGACACTATTCTCCGTCCCTTTATTTTTCATTGCAACAGACAGGACTTCTAGAAACAGGCAAGTATGAACCGATTTTCCTTCCTACCTCCTAAAGTAAAAGAAACTGCTTTCTATTTCTGTAATTCTAAAGGAAACTTGAGTGCATGTGAATGTGAGACTGATTATTTTGTGTGTATGTGATTTTGATATTGCTCAGTAAAAAGACTATTTGTTTTGGAAAAAATACCCGTCTCGTCTCCATCACTGGAACACTGCATTCAGACACGACCTCTGTAAACTTTGGCCAGAGCTCACGTTAAATTTAGTTTCCAACTGTCGTAAATAAGGCAGTTCGAGTAACAAAAGGGTTGTTAAATGAAGCATCATAAAGCTGGAAAAGGCCAAAAGGTCATTTACTCCAGACAACAAGTCCATCCATCATCAAGTTTAACCTGTGCCTTTTTTTTTTGGGATGCAAAGCAAACACACATACAAAAAAAAGAAATCCCCTCCCTCAAGGGTATGGTAGAATATTGGGAAATAGCAAGCTAAGTGTTTCTTATAATGGAGGCAGCTTTTTCTACATGGATGCTCCATGTAGTCACAAAGGAGATGCCTGTTTCTATGTTTGTTTGTTTTTATCTGATTCTGTTCTTTTAAGCACTGGTGAGTCCCTTCACTGCCTTCCCCAATATGCATGGGATTGTAGGGTCCCTCTCTCTGGTTTACAATGCTGAAGGTCAGCAATGAAGGAGAAGTAAATCTCACTGGGTTCAGTTGGGTTTATTTCCTTTTCCTACCTGTTTGCACATCCCTTTTTTCCCTCTCTTCTTTCCTCCTTTAAGTATACTTTAAATGTATTTACAGGAAATTGTTCAGTTGAAATCCTCTTCTGAGGATGTAGGATGGAGTGATGGTCAGGTACAGTTTTGCCTTCCTGAGAAACAGCCAGTGGGAGCTGACAGAAGTTTGGGAAAGGCTGGCAGTTGAAGACAGTTAGAGAAGGCAGAGAGCAGTCTGTCTGAAAAAGGAGGTTTCTGAGTCTTTGAAGGAAGCAGCCTGAGCTACAGCTGAAGTGTGAGAACTGACACGTTGTACTTAGTGACTGCTGGAATGATCTGAGATCATATGTTCAAATTTTAGGAAAGACATACTGCTGTTTGAATCATCCCATGCTGCTGAAGTAGTGAATACAAATTAACTGTCCCCCCTCAGTTTAAACCCTAACGACTGGATGTCTAGTGTTCCCATGAAAATATCACACACACACACACCCTTTGATGTCTAAAAAGGAGGTCTGACCTTTGCCTACATTTAGGTAGTCACTAAATCTAATTTTGCCCATGGCTCTCCAACAAAAGATGGTCAGTCTGGCTGTTGCTTCCTTTAGTTTTGCTGCAGCTCTTTTTGTAGGTGGCAGAATTGCTCATTCAGTATTCAAACTACCATTAAATATTGCAAGTGCAGTGAGCTGCAGAGTTTGTAGTTATAGTGCACAGGAGTCAGAATTGCCATGCCAAAAATGAAGCAAAATGGGACCTTCCGGTTCACGTTACCTGCAGACCCCCTCCCCAATACTCTTTGTAATGGAAATGAAGGCTTACTGTAACAAGCATAAATCACCGGAAAATAAGGACAGTGGTTCAAAAATTGGCTATGCACTTTAGGATGATGATGGGAGTCACAGTGCCAAAAATAAAGGGAATTAGAACATCCTGACCCCTACAATCCCCAGAAACCCCCACCCCCTGCTTGGAAGATATGGTTGTCCAAGGCAGGCAGAACTCATCCAAACTAAAACTAGGAACCTCAGAACTGATCTGTAGCTTCAGGATGGTGATGGAAGTTGCTGTGCACAAAATAAATAAAACTAGAACATTCTGACCAAAATATCTCTGCACCCCCCCCCCACACACACACTACTTGGATTCTACAATTGATTGTGGTAGGCATAAATCACAAAAATAAAGCCTCGGAATTGAGCACTGGCTTCTGAGTGATTGTAGGAGTTGCAGTGCCAACAACAAAATGAATGGGAACATCTTGGTCCAAGAAATCCCCACAGACCCCAGCCCTCCCTGCATTTTTGCTTTATAGTCTAACTACTATTATATATGGTGAGCTCAGGAAGCATTGGGGTTGATGAGCAGGTCAAGCAGATGTAATGAATTAATTGATGAATGATAGCCTTTAATTGATCTAAAGAGACAGGACAGAGTCACTAGAATTTAAATATCTTTTTACATATTTGCTTCCAGATCTATGTCATCAGCAGAATCAAGAAGTATCAAATTGTGGAAATAATAAAGACTTAGGTTGCAGTCCTAAGAATGCACTCCTGTGACTAAACTCTTTTGGATAAAATGGGACTTACTTTCAAAGAGACCTGATTAGAATTCCTCCACCTGATTCCTGTTTCTTATCAGTAGGTGTTCCTTGCTATTCAACTCAGGCCTCAGAATAATTATGTAACATTTTGGAGAAAACACACAACCAAGTAAACCAGCAGTAGAGGACAGGATGGAGAAGATCTCCACAGCCACCATGTATTTCCCCTTTGTGCTCAGATAAGTCGGCACGAAGGACAGCCAAACACTGCAAAACACCAGCATGCTGAAAGTGATGTACTTGGCTTCATTAAATGTGCTGGGCAGCTTGCGAGCAAAAAAGGCCACAACCAAGGTCACATTTGCCAAGAACCCCATATACCCCAGAACACAGTAAAACATAACAACTGATCCTTCGTTACATTCTATAACTTTTTCCTTAAACTTTGAATGGGTGTCCACATTTGGGAATGGAGGAGCTGTGTAAAGCCATAGACTACAAATTCCTGCTTGAATAATGCTACAGGAAAGAACAATGGAGAATGCCAGTCTCTTCCCCACCCAATTCCTTATCTGGCTTCCTGGCTTAGTGGCCATGAAAGCCAGAACCACAGTGATGGTTTTTGCCAGCAAGGAAGAAATAGCCACTGAAAATATTATGCTAAAGAATACTTGACGTAGAAGGCAGGTCAGTATCTGAGGCCGGCCTATGAATAGCAATGAGCAGAGGAAGCAGAGCAGGAGAGAGATAAGTAGACAATAGGTGAGATGCTGGTTGTTGGCTTTGACAATGGGGGTGTTGCGATGTTTAATGAAGATTCCAAGTACTATAGCTGTGATGACAGATGTTGATGCCACCAAAGAAGTTAAAGTGATCCCCAAAGGTTCATCGTAAGACAGGAAGTTTAAAGCCTTCAGAAGGCATTGATCTTGGCCTTTGCTTGGATGTTCATCATCTGAGCATTTGAAACAATCATCCATGTCTGCACAACAGAAAAATATTCTGTTTGATTTCTCAAAAGTTTTATTTTTCTGTTCACATGCATTATTAACCATCCAGTGAAATTTAAGTCTGCATCCTTTGAAATATCATTATTACAAAGTTATGCATATTATAAACAGAGAAACTTTAACCAAGACAGAATTAATAGGGTAAAACCATGATGGGAAGTAGTTGGGGGAAAAATAACTGATGGAAGGATTCTTTGTTTCTGTTGTGAAGTCAGTTGTGAAGAGCTGACTTTTTATGGTTGCTTTTTGTAACTGATCCTTAGTTCTTTTTCTGAGGAATGAGTGACTTTTCTTGCTGGTATGATGCAATGATTTCCATTGCAGCTTCTTGCCTGAGTTTAAAATTCACAGTGGATCAGTAGGTTTCCCAGGTCACCAACACGCCAGTCATTTGCTTTAATTGGATCCTCATTTTGAGGCATAACTTTCACTTGCTGCATACAGAATTGCTTCCAAAATTGTTCAAGTGGATGGCAATATTATGCTGGTGCGGTGGATTTATATCCCCACAGGTTATTGTCATGATAGTTTAGCATAAACCTTCTAAGAGCACAATCACACACACAATTAGCTGTGCCATAGGCACTAATGACAGGTGGATTTAAAGGGCGTGAACATTTGGGAAGCACCGTGCACCCATCGGCAACCCGTTTTGCTCCACCGCAAAAGCGGGGTAAAAAGACACCAGGAAAAGTCCAGTAGCAAACAGGTTGCTACGGGTTCCGGATGGACTTTCCCCTGTCTGATCACTCCAGCACACTCTCATGGAGTCAGGATGGTCTGATCAGGCCATCCCAACTCTATGTCGTTGTTTTTTCCCTCTTATCAGTATGCACATCATTGCACACTCCATAGGAAGCCCTCAGTGCTGAGATGTGATTAATTGATTCCCCATTTAAGTGCATCGGGAACAAATGGGGAAAAAATCTCATCCACGGTCTGCAGCTTCAAAGGAATGTGTGATCGCACAACTGCTGGTCAAATTCCTCTGGACGAAATAGCCTCGCTTCCCCCCCACACACACAATATCTCGTGTATGTGATCACCACCTAAGATTACCTTTTAGAATAGTTGGGGACAAACCTCACCTATGAATGATGTGAATTATGCTATGAATGTGTCCCACAGCTAAACGTACTGTGTCTGAAGGTGATGATTAGTCATGAACCAATCACTCAGTCTGTTAGGTTAATGCAAAACAGCTGTGAACAATTGTTGAACAGGTTTGCATTCAATTTTTGCAAACCTGCACACATAAGGATGCTGCCGATTCAAACTAAATGAACACTGGATTAAATTTTATTAATATATATTGTTAATTTATATATGTATGCCTGATTTATCCATTTAGTCAATTGTCTGGAGCAGTTATGGAGCAGTTATGGGGGAAAGTAGAATTCAGTTGGGCTATGCGAGAACCTCAAGTTTGTCAGAACTCTAATGTAACAACTGCTAGCATCATCTTCAGATTGAGGAATTGGTGGCCTTTACCTCTTTTCCCACAAACTGAAGGTAGCCCAGGTGTGAGTACAACAGTCCACCCTACCTCCTCATCTCTTTGGCAGCAGGAGGCAATGACTGATTCAGCAGCCACTTCTCTTTCATCTGGGTCATTCCTTTTGTGAGAAGAGAGAGGTGGCTATGAGGAGGTGGCTATAAAACATTGGACTAAGATATGAGAGATTTGGGTACAAATGAGGACATGCCAAGACCCTGGTGGGGGATCCATAAAGTTTCTGGTGATTCCTAGTGCTCTCCTTTGTCACCTCCAGTAAGAGCTTCCCATAAGTACATGAGGCTGCATCTCTGAAAAATTTTCCCCTGTGGTGCTGTGCCCCCAATTCTCCAGCCAGTTGCCAGGCAACCCTAATTCAAATCCCTTTAAGTCATGAAGGTTATGGGGTGATCATGGGTCTATCACTTTCTCTGAAACTAACTCACCACACAGGATTGTTGTGAGGACAAAATGGGTGGTTGTGAGCCATTTATATTATCCTGTGCTCCTTGGGGGAATGGTGATTTTTTTAAAAAAAAAGTATACATAGCATGTAGGTAAAGTAGGTAGAGGGGATGTCTGTGCTTGGGCTGCTGTGTTTCTGAAGAGGATGCTCCATGCTTGAGTTTAGCACTTGCCCCCATCCTGCAATGGACAATTGACAGTCGCAGCTCCTGTGATCCCATCTAGATATGCACTTTCAGACATGCTAAATAATGCAGTTTCAATCCACTTCAGTGACCATTTGCAAGTGGATTTTGCCATTTTACACAGTGAAATCCAGTTGTAAAATGCATTGAAAGTGGCTTGAAAGAGCGTTATTTAGTGTGCATGAAAGTGCCCCATGGTCACAAGGAGAGAGGAGGGGCCAACACTGCCTCCTTGCTTCAGGGGTTATGTCAGTGTCCTTTTGCTCATCTATGGCTGCGGTCACACGGAACAGAAGCCACACAAGTGAGACGGAAAACAGGTGGAGTTTCCGGGCGCGATCTCACCAGCACATCTGGGAAGCGTAGCACTCCCGTGGCGCAACTGAGGCTTCCAGCCGAAACTGTGTGGCCAAAAACTAGTACCTCGGAGGTACTAGTTTCCAGAAACTGCGGGGCAAGAGCGGGCGTCTGATCGCGTTTCCGGTGGCATCCGGCGCCCGCCCATGTCCCCTTGCAAATAAGGTGTGTGTTTTTTGTCCAAGTCTCTGTGGATGCGCACATGCACCCAACGGAGCATGTGCATTTGTCGTGTACACACACAAAAAAACAGTTTGCTGCAGCGCACGCTTCTTTATTGCGCGCCGGCTTGTCCTGTGATCAGCACCTCTCCCTTGCCATGGAACCTCCACAGTACCTCCACAGGACCTCCACGGGAGGTCTGATCGCATAACTGCGCAGTAGTTTGCTCCAGGGCAAACAGCCACGCTTCTCCCCCGCAGTTTCCTGCCCGTGTGACCGGGGCCTATGTTGAACAGCCTGGTAAGACTGCAGAGGTCAGGTCAAATTAGCTCAAACATGAGGCCCCCTGCCTACTATTAAGACTGTTCTAATTTTCCAGTCTGCCTTTGAGGATAAATAGCTAATGGCTATTAAATCTAGGGAAAGGAAATACCTGAATGGGCAAAAGCTATGGGAGACAGGGCCTGTAGTAAGGAGGACAACTGAGGAAAATGAGAATCCCCCCCCCAAAAAAAAGACAACCTTGGGTGGATCAAACTCATAGTCCAGAATAAAACTCTCTAGAATACAAAAATGTCACCTACACTTTTTTCTTTAGCATGAATGTTACAACAGTGACATATGTGTTTCTCTTCAAATTATATTTCCCCATGATTCATGAGATATCTTGAACTACTCAAAACATAAAAATAAGATCATCCAAAGATATTTATGTGATCTTAAAATATTTTGTAGCAAGGACAATATTTCTCCTACCGTTCTTGTCTGAAATCTTCCCTTCAGGACATCGAGCACAATCATAACAACAAAATGGCTTCCCCTCCTTCTTCTTTCTGCTGTAACCTGGATGGCAGTTGTCATTGCACACAGAAAAAGGTTGGCTCTATGCATATAAATACAATATAACATATTTACTCCTTTTTTCTACTCATTGGCTTTCATCTGTAAAAATATAGGTAGCTAGAAAATGATATCATTGTAGTGGGAGAGGAGGACATTGTTTGCATGAATCTACTAGAACATTCTTGAGCTGGAAGAGTGCCACTATTACTCGATTTGCCAACAAACTGGGAAATTCCTAGAGATTTGGGATGGTGCCTGCAGTGGGTTGAGGAAGGTAGAGTTTGTGGGATGTGATGCCATGTAGTCCATCCTCCAAAAATGCCATTTCTTTCAGGGGAACTGAGTAGTCTGGAGAGCCATTGTGATTTTGGGAGAACCCTGGGACTCACCTTGATGTAGGTAGCCCTGACTATACCTCATCTTACCTGTTAAAACGATGACATAAAAGTCCCAGGTTATATTAAAGATTGATGAATGAAACACATAATTTTTATTTTATTTTATTAAGGGACATTTCTTAAGGTATGTGATCAGAATCCAATATACTTTGAAAAACAGCCTTTGGATAAAAGGAGTTTCAGACTGTTCTATGTTTCAATGGGATATAAAATTGGGTACTCTAAATAAGGTTTTGACAGTGTCTGAATACAAAATTATGACTCAGATTTCTTTTCTGAATTCTGTGCAAGGGAAGTGATAGACTGGCTTGGTACTACCTATATTGACATGACTAGCAACATACTATGGAAAGCAGACAAATCCTGTAGACACAGATTAAACTGTATGGAGGGTTAACAAGCAGGGCACAGTATAGTGTAAAAAGTACAGTCATGAGCTGAGGCATGCTCAGAAATGGGATTTCACTACAGTATTAGAAAGGAATTGATTCCAAATATAAAAAAAACAAGCCCAGCATTTCAGTGAGTAATTTGATTTGATTTGATTTATTAAATTTCTACCCCGGCTGAGGCTGGCTCAGGGCGGCTTACATAAAACAGCCTAAAATTTTACAATACACATAAAATAGATTACAATACTCATAAAAAGATTAACAACAAATTAAACAGACAATTCTAAAACAATTTAGTAATGGATCATATGTGTGATTGGATTAAAATCATGTATGACACTGCATTTAATTATTAAAAAAAGAATTGTAATGGACAAAAATTTGGATCTGGGTTTCCCCCCCTATAATTTTGTGGCAAGCCAGCTGCCCCCTTGATTTGTTCACATCACAGTATAAGAAATAGGATAGATCCTCAACAGAAAGTAGAATGTTAAGGAACAGTAAGGTATTGGTATAGTACTCCTTTTAACCTGAAATGCCAGGAAGAGAAATTTCAAGCTACAACACTATACACTAAACTTTGACCCAACAGGGCAGAAGAGATCAACAAGGATAATAATCTATTACTCTCCAGCCCTTTGTGGAAAGGCCCAGGGGTAGTTTCATAGGAAAAGAGCTAGGGGAACTCATTAGCATAACTCATTAGCATATGCCACACCCCCTGATATCAGGGGCCCGGCGGTGGACCTGCAAGGCCGGCAGGAATGTGAGGAAGCCCCGCCAAGGCCCTCCCTGGCCCCAGGCAGGGGTGGGGAGAGGCGGGGGGGGAGGAATTTACCCTCCCTCTTCTCCTGCCTCCTCCTGGCTGAATGAGGGCCGGAAGCGGGGCAGCCGGAAGCAAGGGGTGGGGCTTCATCATGTGCCCCGCCCCCTCGCACCTCACCCGGGGGAAGTGTGATCCCCCGCGATCCCCCCCCGAAATGACCTCTGGAAAGGCCATAACTCACTAGTAGAACATGTGATTTAGATATAGAAGGTCCAGGGTCCAGTCCCTGACATCTCCAGTGAAACAGTCAGCCATCTGACACCCTTAAGAGTAGCTGCTAACAACAGCAGATAAAATTGGGATAGATAGGAAAATCTTTTGCACTATTACAAGACAGTTTTTGCCACTACCTTTAGCGTGATCCCACCTGATTAAACATCCTGTGCCATGTGATGAATTCCTCATTAAGGCTGAACACAGTGCCCAGTGAAGCTTGTGGGTCCATCCTTCCAACTTTTACTCTTCGAAAACTTTGGTTAGGAAAAGTAACCCAGTTTATAACTTCAAATCCAGTTTCTAGTTCACCTTCTTCATTGAAGTGAATGGGGTCTCCAGCACTGTTGTTAAAGGAGACACTCCTCAGGAAAGGGTGAAGCTAGATCGACAGAGGCACAGAGAGAAGGTAATAAAAATAGGTACTTCTCCCATTTTTTCAGAAAACATTTTTTCAAGAACTGGGTTTTAACCAGTTAGGGCATTTTTTTTCCTTGTGAATATTAACTCTAAAAATGAAATTAACTTTAATAATGAAAAGCTGGAACATTATCATTTGCAGCTTATCATGTATTTTGCATACTCTGTAAGCCTTGAAAGCAATATCTGATGTGATTTGGTGGAAAAACAACTGAAGTTCTCAATTGTTACAAGAATAATTAATTGAATTGAAACTGATTTCATCAATTACATTTATACAAGGGGCGGACCCGCGATACTCGTGGGGGGGAGGGAGCTCCAGGAGGAAGCAGCAGGAGGAGGTAAGTTCCCCCCATCCTGCCGGTTCCCCTGTCTCCTCAACCCCTCCCCTCCACCCCCCACTTGATTCCCCCTCGCCACCGGAGCGAGGCCCGAGCGGCTGCAGCTGCCGAAGTGAGGCCCAAGCAGCTGCAGCCGCCGAAGCGAGGCCCCCCCCTGCCGCCGAAGAAGCGAGGCCCGAGCGGCTGCAGCCGTCGGGCCTTGCTGGTCTCCCCCACCCCGCCGCCACCAAAGCGAGGGCCGAGCGGCTGCAGCCGCCCGGGCCTCACTGGTTCCCCCACCCCTGGTGAAGCGAGGGTTGAGCGGCTGCAGTCGACCGGGCCTCGCTGGTTCCCCCACCTCCCCGCTGAAGCGAGGGCCAAGTGGCTGCAGTCGCCTGGGCCTCACTGGTTCCCCCACCTCCCCGCCGAAGGTATCCGCACACTAGGGGGCGACTTCAGTATTAGTATATAGATGTGTGTCACAAATCTGTGTGTCATCCTTGCACAGGGGCCATGCTAATTTTCTCTGTATTCTTCCAATTTTAGTATATATGCTGCCAAAGCGGTTCCAGTCAGGCAGCTGTGGTTTTAAGGTTTTAATGGTGACAAGAAAAAAGAACCCAGGAAAAAAGCCCACGGATATAAATGCTCACAGGACAAAAGCCCACGTTGAAAAATGCCCACACAGAAAAATGCCCACGTGGAAAAAAGCCCATAGACATAAAAACCCACACAGAAAAAAGCCCACATGAAAAAATACCTTGTATTTTAAAAAAATTATTTGCCTTTTTTAGGCCATGCTTTCAGTAAGGAAATAGCTGGTGAATTTGCTACAGATCACATTTTTGTGGGGGATTCCCCCACCCAAACTCAATGTTAGCCAATGCTGTCATTATTTTAAAAACAGATCATTATTTCACTCTTTGTTTATGGGTGTTAGGTCTTTATTTTTAAACTGACTACTTATTTAGGAGAAGAAGAAGAAGTTTCTGCTGATGGCTGTGTTCCTATTTAGGTCAGGATGGCAGTATCCAAAATGGTGGTGATAAACTGTATACTCCCAAGCCCCAGGGTCACAAATCTAAAGGAGGAAAGGCAACTCTTCAACGTTTATGGGAAGCTATGAGACACAAACACACTCAGACTGGTAAAAATATTTGAATGTACAGGGTTTTGTGGTGTTTTCACAGTTTTGTGTGGGTGGTGTGTGTTAACAATTACATCTCCAAGGAATTTAATTTCATTTTTCTCTACTAACAGAGCAGAACTCTCTGCAAAGAGCCTCAAACCAGAGCTGGGTCCTGCAAGGTCCCAGTTTGGGCCACCAATCTGAAAAGCCCACCTTCTCTGCCTGTGAATCTGTCTGCAAAGCCACGGCATAGCAGCCCATGCAACAGCCCCATATTACAGGATCATCAAACCCACCCATCACATGCGGTAAATCCAAAAGAACCCCAAAATGACTGTAAATGGAAACAGATGGGGGCTCATTTCACACCACCCTGTAAGAAACAGAAAATTGACATTACTGGTTCTGATGCTGCTTTTAAAGCTTTGTGTTAGAACATGACAAGGCTAATGGGTCAGATGGGCCACTTCCACACTGTCATTTTTGTCACTGGTTCGTCCCTATTGCTTCAGGATCCCCCCCCCATGTGCTTTGCTGTCTCTAGTAGTCCCAGGGGGAGCAAAACACATGTGGAAAAGGGGGGGGAAGCAATAGGGACAATGTTATCTTATGGTTTTATGTTATGACGTTAAAAACAAAATAAGTAAATAATATTAATCGTTTGAAGAATTTAAGCCATATAGGTCTTCAAAAGCAATGTATACTAGACAGTCTATACATAATTTAATTTTATGCCTTTCTATCTTTACTTTAGAAATTACTTCATTCCAACATTCCAAAGGCTGACGAATGGAAAGTAATTAATTTTATTTTAAAATGTTTCTATATAGAGTTTAATTTACATTTCTGTTGTTATTGTTTTGCCTTCTGAATAAAGTTTGTTGATAACAAAATGGTCACTTTTATTTCCTGTATTCTCCCTTCCAAGCCTTTACACTCAAGAGCATTAAAGCCCTCTTCATAAGGCCACTTTTATATAGTAATGAAGTAATTTACTAATAACATAGCAAAATTATTATTTAACTAGGCATAAGGCCCGTTGTGGAAATCACTACAACAAGCTCTAGAAAGAGGCTCTGGGAGAGTGCCCCAGCCTTGGGCACTTAGTGTAAATTTGGTGTGGCAACCTCAGCAGGGTAAAATGACACAGAGTCCACCGTTTTCTCCAGGTAACTGAACGCTGCCTCTGAAGAGCAGTTGTAATTCTGCATAATCTCTATCCCTCCCCTGGAGATTGGCACTAATGGTTCCCCATGAGAGAATGGCTGGTTTGGAGTGTGGAGTCTTTGACAATGTACCTGTCTGAGGTCCCACCCCTCCTCAAACCTCAGCCTCTCCAGGCTCCACCCCTCAAATCTCCAGGAATTTCCCAACCTGGAGCTGGCTAGATTTTGTGCCCAGGTTTACAAGGAGCATAAAATGCATGGCAATGAGATTTTCTAATATTTTATCTAAATTATACACAAATGTCTTATTTTATCTCTATGCTATAGTCACAGATTTTTAAATTGAAGTATGTCATTGTTGGTTTTATCTCATATTTCTTATTCAAATGTTTTTATGTAAAATGATTGAGTGAGCTTGTAGTTGACTTTAACAATAAATTTGTGCGCCGGAGGCTAAATGTGTGCGCCGGAGGCTAAAAACCTATGAGCTAGCTCACACTAACCCAGTTTAGAGGGAACACTGGGAGCCACTTTACTCCCATATTTAATCTTCTGGTTTTGCTCCCCCCTGCTTTGATGTGGCGGGGAACAAAACTGGAGGATTAATTGGTTCAGACCAGCTCACAAACCTATACAAATGGGTTTGGTTCATGAACTAGCAAATCTGTTTGTGTAGGTTCGTGGTTTGGTCCATCGGTTAGCCACAAACCAAACTGCAAAAATGTGTTTCGTTCCCATCCCTATCTTCTGACAGGGTTCCTGGCTGGAAAACCACACCCAAAGAGTAGTTGTCATTGGTATATCCTCTGATTGGAGGAGGTATCCAGTGGGGTGACAAATTGCTTGGTTTTCAATATTTTTATAAATGATCTGGATGAGGAAGTGGAAGGACTACTCATTAAATTTGCATATAACACCAAATTGGGAGTAGTAGTACACAGTCCAGAAGATAGACATAGAATTCAATGAGAACAGAACACACTGGGGATGTGGGTGGATATGAATAAGATGCAATTCAACAAGGATAAGTGCAGAGATCTATATCTTGGTTACAAAAATGAGAAACAGGCATACTGAATGGAAGACACACTTCTGGATAGCAGTGTATGTGAACAAAAGTGGGGATATGGGTGGACTAAATGAAAAATAAGTAGTCTGCGTGATGAAGCAGCAAAAAAAGCTAATGCAGTCTTGGAGTTTATCAACAGAGGCATAACATCCAGATCACAAGATATCATAGTTCTTCTGTGCACTGCATTGGGCAGGCCACACCTGGTGTACTGTGTGCAGTTCTGGAGAACTCACTTCAAAAAAGATGTGGACAGAATGTTGTGGGTGCAGAGGAGGGTGACAAAGATGATTAGGTAGATCAGATAAAATTAAAGGCTGAGGGAATTGTGAATGTTCAGTCTGGAGAAGAGGAAGTTGAGAGAGGACATGATTACTCTCTTTAAGTATCTGAAAGACTTTCATCTAGAGGAAGGCAGGTAACTGTTCCTGTTTTCCAGCAGGGGATATGATTCACAACAATGGGTTTAAATTTATGGGTGGAAAGGTACTGGCTGGATATTAGGGTTTCCCCCCACCAGTAAGAGTAGTTCAGCAGTTGAATCAGCTACCTAGGGAGGTGGTGAGCTCCTCCTCACTGACAGTCTCCAAGCACCAGTTGAATGAACATTTGTCAGAGATGCTTTAGGCTGAGCCTGCATTGAGCTGGGGGTTGGACTAGATGGCCTGTATGGCTCCTTCCAACTCTTATGATTCTATCATTCTCTCCTCCACCCTGGCAGAGTCTTGGTATCCCTGTAAGTCTAATGTCCAGCTTTACAAATGCACTCATTAACAATGACGTCCTGCAATATCTCATGCTTGTTTTTATTTGACCTGAACACACTGCACATTATTTTATGGAAAACTGCTCTTGCAAAACTTCAATATCAGAAACACTTTGTCATGGGAATAGTCCAGATAAACATTGTCACAGACACATGTTCATTCCAGTTACACATCCTTGGTCTTAGATATGTAAAGGTGGACTTTTGGGTAGGATTAGAAAATCACTATCACAAAAGCTTAGAAGAAAGTCCCAGATGCTTGTTGGGGGCCACAAGAAGGAAGGATGGAGATAATTGATAAAGCTGGAGACTTGCATTATGACTTATCCTCCTCAACAAGTAATAATATTAAATTTGTAAGTATTAACAAAAAGAGGATAAAGGAAATGCAGCTGGACCTAGGAACACTAAAGAAATAAAAGTGTAAACCACCCCTGTTCTTATGAGGAAATGGTGTACTCTTTGAACACCATCTTTTTACGCGTTCAGTACTAATAATAGAGCTTCAATAGACCTAGAAAGTTACCTGCCAAGATTGTTGATCTGAAACCTTCAGGAGGTCTCCACCCCAAGCCATTCTCCTGTATTTCTGTCTGGATTCACACAAGGTATGTAAGGCATGTGCTATGGCATGGACAGCATTGTAGATGCAGTAGCTTTGGGCAGTCATGCTCATTTCAAAAAAAGGACCTGGGAGGCTCTCCAGCTTCTCCTCCCCAGTGCATCTCTGTGTTATATCTTTATCCAGTTTGGAATCTGACAGTGAACATTTAAATGCCTGTTCCCAGAAGACCCGGATAAAGCCATCTTCTTTTTGCCAGTGAGGAGTTACAATGCAAAGGAATTTTTGAAACTCAACCACCTCTCTGGATTTAACTGTAACAGATAAAGAACCATGGAAAACTTCTATGTTCAAAAGCCTGTCGAAGGTATGTAATGAGAAATCCCATTGGGCTGTCATAATCCATACCTTGCCCATGATTGCCTCAGTTATAACTTCCATTTGTGCAATGTATAGGAACCATTTCAATGAAGTCATAGTATGAGTATCTCCATTTATAACATATACCTTGACCTTGATATGGGTTAGGAAAGAAGACAGACTGTCTTTGGATCTTGACAAGTAGAAAACATCTATCATGTCTACAGTTGAAGTGGCAGTTGGAAGCCTATCAATGAAAGCAGGGCAGATACCATTCTCAGACAGGAGTGCCATTAATATCTGCACAAACATATCCCCTTGGCTATTATTGACTGCAATTATGCCAACCCATATCCACCGGAAATGCAGAAGAAGCTGTACCATCCCAATGTACTGATTTCTTTCACTGGGGGCCATTTGGTAAATGGAAAGTTGTTGGGTTTTCTCCCTCAGTTCTGGACAAAAGAAGCAGTAGGTAACCTAACGAAGAATAAATGGACAGTCAGATCGGGTTAGATATGTTAATGACTCTCTCTCTTGTTTTCCCATTTCAAGATCGGTGACTAGAAGCAAATGTTGTAACATACTATGAAAGAATGATTAGATCCGCATTTTAAAACTGTTTTTGCTTAAAAAACACAGAAAGCCTGGGGGAATCCTAGGGACACTTTTCTAGGAGCAAGCTCCATTGAATAAACCGAGGAAGGGGGGTTACTTCTTTTTCTTTATTTTTTTAAATTGCCCATGTGTGGGCAAATTGTATTAGTTTTATAAGTGTTACAGAAAAGAAAAAAGAGTAGTGCATTTTAACATATCTAGCCAAAAATCTCGCTCACATCATCATGTTTACAAGCAAATTACCATTTCCCCCCTTATTTTGGTTATATTCCATTACATATACCTTTAAAGCAAAAATCTATTCCCGATGACTAATTTAACTATATCCTATCTGCTATATTTCATTTTATCTATAATATACTATTATTTATCTATTTTCTATAAAAAAGAAAAAATAAAGATGGAAAGAAACAGATATATCTGAATAATTGGCATTTCTAATTAAAGTATATATTTCATCCATGTTAGCATTCTAGTCCCTTTACATTTTCTTTCATATTTTGACAAAATTAGCTTTCAGGCCTAAACATAGTAGTTCATATTTTCCCCACACTCTCATCTGCCTCACTAACACTGCCAAGAAAAGCAAATTTTAAAAAATTAAATCATTACAGAACCTCTAGATAAGGACCCCATTAATTATATTTTCCCCTACAGTTCATCTCTAGAAGGTTCAAACTGCCCATATCTCCTTCAATTAAGACATTACAGGTACAATAAATAAATTGTTTCCACTTAAATAGCCATTATTTAGAACTTTCACTAATCAGTTAAAACCATATTAATATTCAAGATATATTGCTTCATGTTATATTCATAAATCAGTTGGATTTCAAATGTCAATATTATTCAAAAGAACAACCACAAGGTAGACAAGAGGTTCTTAACAGTTTAGAGGTTCCGGTTTAAGTAAATCTTTATCTCATCAGCCAGTTGAATCCATATAAACAGAGAATGCTGCTTCAGATTATTTAAAATATTTCAGTTTCTCTTGCTTCTTTTGGAAATGCCTCTTCATAATATCCACCTTTTTGTGTCTTTGGTCTCTATAAGTCTTAATTGTATGAGAGCACAGACCACCTTGTCTCTTCAATCCTGGGAATGCTGAGCTATATCTGGCAGTCCCATAGTAATCAATCTTTGAACAGTAGTAGTAATAGCTGGATACGTCTTTCATTGTAGAAGTCGGGTGCTGAGACAAGTCACGTTGCTTTACATTTTGTGTAACATCTGACCTCATCTGATTTTGTGCATCTGGTAATTTGATCTCCTGGTTCTCAGTTCCAGCAAAGATCTCTTCCAGTGTCCCTAAGACTGCAGTTGTAATGTTATCTGCTAATTGCATTTTCCAGTTATCCCAGAAGTCATCTGACAGCTGCAATATCTCTCTCTCTATCGAACAGACTCTCTCTTCAACCTCAGTCAAAAGAGCCATTTCGCTCCCTAGCAGACAGTCTGTAAACAACAGTCAATGCTCAACTACGCAGGCAGAAAAAAAAAAAAACCCAGCATGGATTTCTTTTCCCTAACAAAAAACTCATTAAGCATAAATCTCTGTATAGATGTTTTCCAAGTAGCAGATAGATTTCAGTGATTTATTAAGCCCCGATCCTCCGATGAAAAATTTCCCAAACTCTGCTGCGCTGCTCAAAAAGTTTTGTCTCTGGGAAAAGATTTATGGGGGCAATCCAGTGGCCTTTTATGAGTTTGATGATTGTAAAAAGGAGAAGAGATTACTCACAGAGTAATCACTCCAAGATGATTGTGGTGAGGTGTGAAGGCTCTTATTTTGGGGGTTGTGAGGCTTTCCAGCCATGGACTTCCATGGTTCGTCCTTCGGAGATGGAGGGCTCAGTTTAAGTCTTCTGCTCCTAGTTCCTGCTCCTGAGGATCTGGTGGACACTTGTCAAATCTGGAGAGGTCCAGAAATGCCAAGAAAGTCCCCTAAAAAGACTCCAAAGGCTGGTGAGACCCGGAGAGGCTCTGGCACGTGACCACTCTGCCACACAATAGCCCCGCCTCCAGGTTCAAAGGGGGCTTACTTATAGAATTTGTTTAGGACTGTTCCTTCTGCCTATTTTGTGGCTAATTTTCATATTTTTCATTCTTTGTTCCCTAAATGTATTTTTCATTCTTTGTTCCCTAAATGTATTTTTAGGAGTAGAATGGAACAGGTGTCAAAGTTGTGAAATAACTACATATCTCAAAAACACATCTTACCTGAGGAATCTTGTATGTACTTAAAGTATTGGCCATGTACAAGGAAGTTTCAGAATCAATTCCACCAACAACTGATAACATCATCTTCTGTGTATCACAACTGTAGTTGGGGATGATGCTTTTGGAGTTGAACAGGAGGTTCATGGTGCTCTGATAAGTCATCCTTGCGTTGAAGTAACCATCACCGACATGGAAACCAAGGCTGATGTTTGGTAAAATCTTGGGGTTGTCATTGATCTCCTTCACAGCGAAGACCAAGGCCAGTGCATGCTGGTAGTTCTTGGTAACTATACTAAAAACAAGGTTTACACATTGCATAAAACAAATATTCTGCACAGTTTAAACTCCTTGCAAATATGGTGAGATCATTTGTTTCACTGCACTCAGGACATTACACATATTTTTTTTAATTAAGGCTCACAAACAGCCTATAAAGAAATAAAGAATGTTATATATTGCAGAAGTTCACAGGGTTTTTTATATACATTGATACACTGTTGGCATAATTCTTTCAGAATTGCAGGGTTTTCCTCACACTCAGCTTACTTTTGATTTCCTTGGCAGTCAATCCAGAAGGATTGGAATCACTTTGGTCACAGTTATCCTGTGCATCTGCCCTGAGAGCCAGTTAAGAGTGGTAGACTCCAATCTGGAGAACCAGGTTCATTTCCTCAATCCTCCACAGGAAGCCAGCTGGGTGACCTTGTGTCAGTCACAGTTCTCTCAGCACTGTTCTCTCAAGAGCAGTGCTCTCAAAGCTCTCTCATCCCCAATTACCTCACATGGTGTCTGTTGTGGGGAGAGGAAGGGAAGGTAATTGTAAGCTGCTCTGAGACTCCAAGTGAAGGGCAGGGTATACATTCAACTCTTCTTCCATGTCCCCCTTTCACTCAGTCTCACATGATTATATACATGGCTTTTGTCCATGCAAGTCCCACAATTCCCAGCATAGCCTTTTGGGTCATCAAATGGGACTCCCTCCTCCCTTTATAACCAGCAGAAAAGGTGGCTGGATGCACCCACTGCCAATTCCTCCTTTCTGTCTTGACTTAATCTTCCCCTAGACTTTACATCTCAATAGACTTTCTTTAAAAGTTCTTCATAAAAATTCTATAAAATCTCCACAAATGAGCACCTAATTTGGAGTTCATTTCAACCACCCAATTGCCATAGCTCTTATTATCATCAGACAGCAACCTCAAAGACTGCAGCCTTTGTTAATTACAGAAATTTCTGTCACAGTTTTTTGATTTGGGGAAGAAAGGGTAAAACTGAGAAACATGTTATTTTCTACGAAGCCCTGTTTTCTGTGTTTTAGGCTGATTTCACTCTTCCCTCCACCTTTAACTGTAGTTACTCCCCTCAAAGGTAATCTAAATCTGTTTTGGCTCTCACAAATGGGAACATAAAATGGCTCCTGGAATAAGTTGCTCTTTTAAAATTTGGAAACTGATAGTTCTATTATAAACTTTAAAAAAATAGTTGTGCTTCTGTTTCCTTTCCTATGAAAAGGGAATAAGACAAGCACTCACATATTTGTGTCAATTAGCTTTGTCCTTGGGTGTTCTGTAAAGGAGAAGGGTTCCGAATAAGAGAAGAGTTGTGAAGTCATCCCACCAATAATGAGGTCACCTGCTTGATAATACTCATGTGGAATGTGGAGGGCGTCACTCATGCCACACATCAGTGTATGCACCTTACATTTAATTTCAATCAGCCACAATAATAGGAACACCTGTAAGGAAAATAGCACTGCCATTCTGGAATAAAATTGTATAATGAGTATCATTTTAATCTAACTCATGATTGTTTTTCCGAATGCCCTCCTTGTAACAAAGCTTCATACCAAAAACTATGCTGTAGAATCTATGCCTGTCCTTTATACCATCATGGAATGACACTGAGGATGTTAGTTTAACCTTTAAATGTAATTGCTGGTTGTACTCATGGCCACTGAAAATGTATGAGATTTTAGGAAAGGAGAACTAATTTGAGATAATTGCAGGATTCACAATTATTACTTTGACAGATGGGATGCCAGATGGAGAAAAATAATACGCAGAGATACAGATCCCCCCCCCCGAAGTTCTGAGAAAAGAACAAAAGAACTAAACCATAGATAACCAAATTATATATTGCAGTTGAAGTCTGCCCTGAGATAAGGCCTAACTTATGCTATCAGAATTGACATAAAATCCCTTCTTGTCCTCAAAAAGATCATCCAGTCACATAGGAGAGTGCTCCATCACGCCATGCACTGCTTCTGACTTCAATTAATGATACAGATTTGATTCCTTCAACTGAGGCCTTAAAAGAGTCCAAGCCAGCATCACATCAGAGTGTTACCGACCTCAAGGTGTGTCCTGGAGTCTTCCTGAGATTAGAAGTGATCTCCAGGCTACAGATATTAGTTCTGCTGGTGGGAATAGCAGGTTCAAAGGGCAGTCTCTATGGCATCTCATCTGTGCTAAACTCCCTTCCCTCCTAAATGCCACTTTCCCATGGCATCATTCCCAAATTGCCATACGTTTCTCAACAGGAATTGACAACCCTCCCTAAAGAGGGAATAGCATTACAGT